CGGCTACAACCCCAGCCAGTTCATCATGGCGCCCACAATGATGCCCACTGCCCCAATGTGGCCCAGATACACCACACCCATGATGATGCCAGCATCGCCCTACTTCAACCAGGCCCTGTCCCATGACACCCATCCAGTGCTTCCTGACATTGCCAGTGTTGACCATCATCAGCAACAACATGCCAACAACATTGTGTGACAAGATGCCTCAGCAACTGCAGACACCCATATCTGTGGCCCAAAGTGTGCTCAATGATGAGATGTCTGAGCTTGAATCTGAGGTGGCCATCAGCATGGCTGATGATGTACCCATGTTTGAACATGCCCAATCAGTCCATGATGAACCTGAAGTTGCAGACCTGGTCACCATCAAAGGGGATGGTGAGGGGGAGGAAGAGGAGGAAGTCGCCACACCCAAAACCAAGAAGAGTTGGAACAGCAGGAAGAAGAAGAAGAGGAGGAGCACCAAGAGATGTGACACCAGTGCACTGATATGATGGTGTGATGTGTGTGGATCTCCTCTCCTTGTATGGTCATTTGCTTTGGTGCATTGTGCAGAAGTGGCCCAATGTGGACTCTGCAATTGGTTGGCTGGATGTGGTGATCACTCTTCAAGGTGGCCGCTTGCTCTTGTTGTTGGTGGTGTTGCCCTACTTCTTTGTGCCTGGCATTTGCTTCAAGTGTGAACAGGGCCAGGTTTGTGAAGATGGTGGCATGGTGGCTTTTGATTTTCCTGACATGTCTTGGGCTGACCTCCCTGTCCTGTGCAATGGAGCCTGCACCTACTTGGCGCTGCAGATTGTTGACCTGCTGGAGGAGCATGTATTGGGTTGCACTGACAATGTCATAGTCCAACTCCTTCTAACTTTTCATCTCCCCAAAGTGCAGAGGTGGCTCACCATCAGATGCCATCATCCCAAGAATCACTTGCTCTTTGTACATGTGTCTCTACTGCTCCAGCTGTAGACCCTGGCTGATGACGATGCTGAGGGAGTGACACACACACTGTCCACAGAGGATGCACATGAGCTGACCTGGTTGAGTCTCTCCCACTTTCTACCAGTGTTGTCCACAACAGTTCTTTCATTGTGACTATTGCCTATAACATATCCCCTTGCTTACCTGCCCCAACACCACAACTGCTTGCTGTCTGTGTTTGGTTGGGTGACATTAGCCTGGGGCCTGCTCTTCTTGATCTTCTTTTTGATCTGGGCCAATAGGTGATCCAGGTAGGGCACCTCTGCTTGGTTGGGTCACTGTGGTGTGGTGGGGACTTGGGCAGGACTGCAACCAGTGTGGCTCATGGTGTGTTGCCTGTTGGCTTGGCACTGCCACACCTCCTGCAGTGGCTTTTTCTTGTTGCCAGTTGCCATCACTGTGGATTGTTCATTGGCATGAACTCCAGTGTTGGTGTTAAAGTCAAAGCCACAAGCTAAAACAGACCCCATTGGAACAGTGCTTTCTGAGCCATGGTCAGTCCAGCATCCATTAGTGAAGTTCCACCAGTGGACATGGAGCCTCTTATGGAGAACGCTGATGATCTTGCCTATCCAAAAGTCCTGAGTGTCTTCATCAGCATCAGCCTGGACAGCAACCCACTGACCAGGAGCAAAGTTGAAACCTTGGACTTGGGGTGTAGTCCATGTGTGGACAACCTTGACCCTGGTTTGGAGACAGAACAATGGACCATCAAGGAGAGGATTAGTGATGGGGTGAGCTGTGAGTCCATCAAAAATCAAGTTATCACAGGTGGGTTGGGAGCTTGAAACAAGAGCCTCATGTGCTTCAAAGATATCAGCCCACTCACTAAGCTCAGACTCAAGGAACAGTGGAGCATGGCAGTTGTCAGCCAACTCAGTAAGCACTTCAGGTGGAAATTGCTGAGGTGGGATAGTGAAAGGTGCTCCTGATGTGGTTTGTGTAAGTTGTGATATCTTTTGGTAGGGTGTGTGCAACATAGTGAGGAGCAAACCAGTCAGAATGGATGTGAGAAGCTGGTATGGCTCAGAGTAGGCTCCTTGGGTGTGGTAGGCTTTGTCCCAGATCACTGGTTTGCCTGAAGCATCACAGAAAAAATGGAAAACATGGGGGGTGGAGTGACCAGTCAGGCCATGCATGTGATTTCCAAGCCAGCTCTTCCAGTCCCAAACAGTTTCAAGGGTGTGCAGGGAAGGAGCTGGGCCAGTGGATCAGTAAGCCTGCTCAAGAAAACCAGAAAGTTGACTGAAATTTGAAGATGAAGTTAGGAAGGTGAACAAAAAGGGGCAATCATTAATGCTGACAGAAAAAACTGATGTGCATTGGGGTAATGAGTTGACAAATAAAAAACCCAATGTGCATTGGGAAAAACAATCAACACAAAAAAAAGAGTGATGACCATTA